TGCCGGGCGTTACAGAAAATTCCAGCTTGTAGAACATAAGTTACTGCACAGAACGGTGTGGCAGGGTTCCATTAAGGACGAATGCACTTGCTTGTGCGCACGGCCGTTTCGCACCTGAATACGTAAGAGCCGAAAGTGAACGTTTCGAATTCTACTTTCGTTAGACGCGTTGCTTCATTCGGTAAGCGCCCAATACGATACGAGACGTGCCAATGCCCGACGTTGATTCTATGCGCCTTTAAATTGTGGCTCCCTCCATTCGTTCCTTTACGACTCAAAGGCAAACGTTACGATTGCTCACTCACAAGCCACTTATCATTAAATGTAATTTCTCTGATCTCAGTCATAAGTGAATTAATCCCCAAAAGCCTGACACGACAACGTGACACTTCTCATATTGTTTCTCCAAAACATTCGAGTATTACACTACGATACAGTGAGTTAGTGTGCCTTTATGTATTTACTGCAATGTTGGAACGAATAAACTCTATACAGCAGTCGGTTCTCTTTTAGAAAACGGCGATTTGAAGAGTTACGTGGATCAACAGCAGGGACATGCTCTTGAATGTTCGACCATTTGTCAAAACGAGCTCGGGGAAAAAGGCTACCAGTTAAACGAAGGCTCGTAGATGAGTGGCAAGCAACCATAGCTGCGCACAAAAGAACGAAGTTATAGTAGTACAGAGCGGGAAAAGGGTTTCGCCATCTAGATGAGCTTTGCTGCAGCCACCCTGCCATCAAATTAGCGTAGAGCCCCTAACGAAACACAGCTAACAGAAAGCTCGTTGGTGGCTGAGGTGAGATGTGGAGTCGCGATTCTATGCGAGGGCCGTTGCCTTTCCCTACTTGTATGTCAGTCCCGCAGAAACAAGTCGAGCTAGTGCTCACCGGGGGTCTTGGAGCGCGCTAAAGCCCGCACTACCGAATGATGAGCTGGTCTTCAACTCTATGTCCGAGAAGTTCCGATCCAAATCACTTTACCACCTAAACACTCGCTCACGCCACAGGTTTCATCGGGTTCAGAGCACTACAACAAAGAATATATATGGTGGTACAAATACACTCACTTGGAAAATGCAAACAGATATACAGGCGGGCAGGAACTCCCGGGAAGCTATTAGAACCCTACTTGCTTGAATAAACATGAACTGCATAATTATCTCTACAAAATATCGTTTATCCTACATAATAAAGAGGAATAGTATACTTTTGAAATGCACGGAAATATGTACATAATTCCACCTAACTATTTTCTTTAGCTCATCACGTATACAGAAGTCTGAAAGATATCTGAACGCTGGGTCTACAATAATTCTTTTCATTTGTATACGGGTATCCCGTAACTGATTTTAGCAAAATACACCCATTTCCATTTTCAAATATCATGGTATTGTTCCAATATAAAACAAAGCAAAGCCTTAGGATCGACGTTGGCTGGCGGTACTTCAATAGCTGCTTAAATGCTTAAAATGGTATTCATTTAACGCATTTTATAAACAGTGAATACATATGTTGCCACTCTAATACGTACCTAGATAGGGTTCAACGTAATTTGACCTATTGTAGTTTGGTCCTAGTGTAGGCGATAAAAGACAGAAACTAAAAAGAGTTGCTGAATAAAACTGGAAAGTCATGATGCAAGGGACGAATTTTAAGGAACAGATACTCCAGTCTATTGAAACATAGTATATTTTATAAAGTGCTACCACTCCCGTGCACAGTGTGACAGTTTCGTGCCCTTTACGGTGCTTTCATTTGTATACGTACAATGTCAAACTACATTTCATACACTTGAACATAGCTAAGCGATTCTGGAAAAAGATAATCAAGCATCAATACATTAGAACTAGTCTATAAATGACAGGTAAACTTGTAGGCTCTTTCGATCGGTTGAACGCTTCTAGAGTTCTTCAACAAACGCCTTTATGCGAGCAAATAGCTCAGGGCTGCAAAATGCCTGAGAGCAATTCGCTTGCGCCCTATCCATCTTCCGCGTGAAGAGCTGAACTTTATTTAGTTACAGATCGACTGTCTTTATGTAAAAAGACGGCGAGTTTGACTTTTTCATTCGAACCTTCCTATCGATGATCAACTTTACGAGTCTCGCTCTACTGTAAAGTGCTTGCTCATCCTTAGTTGATATAGTTAGATTTGAGCTGAATAAAATAATTACGAAATATAATAGGTATTAGCTTTACAGTTAGATTATCATTAATGGTGACATGAATAGAGTATTTGTACATAGAGCTTCGAACGTTCGAACCTTTCAAGAAGCGCTGCCTGATCGAGTTTACGCTATTGCTTGTCATTAGGTTTGCTACTTATGCTTACGAAGGCTTCCATAGTAGGCTAACCAAAAATTGGCGAGTTGATAAAATCGCCTCATACGTGGACAGGGCTCCCATTTCGTTGGGGCTTACGTAGACTTGATTGTCATGTTCGATTTGCGGCTGAAACGTTGTCCAAGTAAGGACATAAAAACGACGAAGTTCTGAAGCTCTTCTTTTCCTATAGCGTATATAGATTGCTACTGCTGCAAGAACCCTCAGTCCATTTTAAGAACATTTGTTAATTATTCCGTAAGGCTTAAATTTGAATTTTGTGAATAATGAATCGTCTTCCCCAATACGTTATATATTTCTGTAATGCTATATACAGTATTACGCTATTATAGCAGTAAAGTCGAGACGATTGGCTCTGTCTACGCTACGCCGTTGACGAGGTTAGATTCCATTACGTACGCACGCGCAATCTCAAATCTCGTTCGCTTGTAGCGTACCGTTGACTGTCGATTTCAAGCCTCGGATTACTATTTTCCTTTGGCGTAAAGTGTAGAAACTTAAACAATCAATAAACAGGTCCGATACACGTTGTCCGCATATCTGCTTCAATAACAACACAATTCTGTATCAACATGCCGTTAGGGTTGATAGAAAACCGCAGAGAGTGTTTTCATCTGTCTGAAAGCACTCAATATGGTTGCTTCAGTACAGATTGAAACAAGCGAAATCATTAGATGTCCTAAACCACTGTTGTAATCGTTGCTATTAGAAATAGCGACGATTTATCGCACTGCTAGGTCTGTATCCGCTCTATCCGATAGATCATTGTTGACGAAGACAAAACGTCAGAGTATAGAAATCGGCTTGGATTCATCGTCTCACCCAGCGCGACTTGTCTTTTTTCGGGCTGAGGATACTAGGCTTAGGAAGAAAAAGGTGAACAGAAGAAAAAACTGCGAAAGCTACGGCATCATTAGCAGTTGCCACTTCTCTCGATCTTCCTAAAGCTTTCTGTTTTCTCCTTCGTTTGTCGCTTGAGGAAGACTCCCATCAACGCCCACGCCACCGTCTCGTTAGTTGTCGAGACTGGCAGCGGCAGAAGCAGCACCGTGATACCCATGTGCCTATCTCGAGAGTTTTTCTTTGAGTTCGCTAGGCAGATATGAGGGACTGCGGCAGCTTTTCGTGGCCTCGACGGCACACGGCCACCTCATATTAACAGCTGGCTGGGTCCAGTCCTTTCCCATTTCTTAGAAGTAAGGCTCATGGAAGAAAAAGAACCTCTTGAGCAGGAGCAAGGAGCGAAGGATCGGGCCATGAAGAGCCGCGGAAATTCTTCCGTATATGGAAAGCCCGGCTCGTCTGACTGATATGCTTCTGTTCTTGGCCAGCTTCCGTCGTCATCCTGTCCTAGTCCACCGTGACCCACGTTGCCCCCACTCAACTCTAGCCGGCTTGCAGACATTACCCCCAACCGTGTTCTGCTTTCTGGTATTCTTCGCGTCCTCAGTCCATGCCGCATCTGCTATGGAAGTCTTACGCATAATGCGAAAGAGTTCGGAGGTTCTGGTTGACAGATACGAAGAGGCAGAAAGAATATCTCGAAACGAGGAGTCTTCTATCTTTCCAGTTCCCTCCTTTTTTGGGTTCTAAAGTGTCCTTCAACTAGAAAGCAACCTATACGGTAGGAATCGGTTAGGCCATCATCATCGTGGAGCAGCGAGCAGGTGAATGAATATTATGTTGGTCCCACGTAGCTTGTATTTATGTATGCGTTACCCGTTCCTTATAATTGTATGGAGATCTCACTTAGATTAGAAGATCAGAAAAAACGTACCTTGTTCGATAGGCTAATTGTATTGGGTATTATGTTGATTTAAAAATATTACGGTGTACGACGACGGTGAGGAGACTCATGCCTGTGGTTAATGCATTCCTGCTCAGACCATCGAGTATCTATGTGCGTATATAACATATTATTGTGCTACTGAGGTTCTCTGTATACAATCGGAGTCATTATTATTGTTGTTCCATTGTTAGAGTAATTAGGACAGATTTTCTAGTATGTACTTTTGGATTTCACGGCCAAAGTTTGATAAGAACGTAGGGTTGTCACGGAACGTAGGAAACTTCGGAGCGGGTTAAGTATTGGACTTTCACGATGATGTGTCTTCTGATCAGATCAATGGAATTGTCTCACATTTGTTATTAATAGTCAAAATCAATCTTGGGCATAAAGGCTTATGTTGAGATTAAGAAAAGCAAGTCGTCTGAGATTTTCCTGGGGAGCTCGTTTTTGCTTAATTTCATGAATGGTACAATACAGCTGACACTTGAACCTAACTGCAGACAGTCGCTGCGGTGGCCCTTATCCAGCTACGTTTTGCTGCAGGGAAACACTCCTAAGAACATAGTTTAGTAAGCAAGAAATAAAGAATACAATTTTCTAACTGAAAAGTCAGTCGTAAACGGGCCTCAAATCTCAAAGGGTCGGTCCTACATGACAAGTCCATTTGTCTCTTTCTGCACGCATCTCGTGAAATTATGCTAGTGGATTTTCATTATTCTGGATATCATGTATTAACGTATACGGTAAAGGAATACAAATGTAACAACGAATAATTAAACTGCAAGATTATATATGTATACGTGTATAAATATGAGTATAGATTCAGTTTAGTACTACAATTTACACAGGGTATATTTTCATTGTTGCAGTGTCAATTCAGGCCCCACAGGACGTGCTCGATTCGTCGTCACCAAAATTTGTCGCATTTACTCTTGTGGTGGAAAGCTCGGACCCGAACCGTATCAACCCTGATGTAGGGGCATTTCAGGTATGATCATTTATTTTTTGAGACATATCTAAATCCGTATTTAATGCCTAATGTTTTTATCTCAAATAAATGGTTTCAGTGTTTAGTTTTTCCTTTTTCTGTACAAAGCATAAGATTTCATCTAAGGAGAATAGGAACACATTCCTAGAAAGTATAGTGCAGGACGAGATGGCCGTGCTCCAGCATCTTGCTCTCCTGAACCTGTTTATAGACCTCATGTATATCTATTGTACCTATTGGACCTAGCGTCCCCCCAAAAAGGACCGGGTAGTTTCTGTTAGACATACCCATGTCCCTGTAACACTTTGAAAACATCAATCTGTCGGCAGCTTCAGCAGAAGCAACTCCGAATCCATTATCGAGCCCTTGGAGGCCACTTATTTTCTAATAGCGACTTCGCATTAGTTAACCATGCATCCACTCAACTACAAAGCCAATAAAATCACGAAAATGAAACAGCCTTACCCCCAGCCGCTGATAGACTCCGTTCTTCTACCATACACATGGTTTTTTTTTATCTGACACGTCTAGTCGATTCTAGATGATAATCATCAAGAAAGTGTTATAAAGTGGTGGAAAACTGTATTGGTGGACTGCAAACTATCTGATCGAATGATGACGTGTCTGTGATTCTTACCTTCCTACCTTATGCTCTGACTGCGTAACGTTAACAAGTTACGCTATATATATATATATATATATATATATATATATATATATATATATAGCAAGCAGTACGGGTATAAAAGGAATGCAGTTATAACCGGTGTTGACACTGCGAGTTCGGTAGGAAAGCTCTATAGACAGTGCAGTGCACTCCAAAAGGCGGTGTATAGAAGCACGCTGCAATTTCATTAAGACGCGCCCAGCAAGGATGCATTGAACTGGTTCCCCGGTCGTCCTTGCGACGTTAAGACAGTGGCCAATCTAGTTAGCTTATAAGAGTTTGAAAACAGATTGTAGAGCTAGGTAATCTTACGTGCGCGGCTGGCCGTTAGTTTCTGTACATATTTATAGAAGATTATATACTCTATAAGCGGATATTCTTGGTCGGCCACGGCCAAGCTTTTATCTATAAAATCGACTAAGTTTCCTTTTCCTGCCATTATTAGGCTGAACCGTCAAAGCGTTTCAGTTACCTCTCTCTCTCTCTCTCTCTCTCTCTCTCTCTCTCTCTCTTGTCTCTTTCCGTTACCAATACTCCAGCTAATCTCGTCCTTTACAAATGGTTCAGGCGTAAACGAAAATAATATTGGCTTTCTATAATATATAATACTCGGCAAGGCAATATTTTCAAAACTTTAATATATTTTCTTTTTTTTTCCATATTTGAAATAAGTGTAAAGGATATAAATATCGAACAAGTCGATACTTATATCCTTTACACTTAATTTCAAAAGTAATGTAAATAACTAATTTTTGATAAATGAAATTTATATGTAATAACAGCAACAACAAAAAAATGGTGGGTCTTGCTGCGTGGTAACAATCGAATGACGATAAAATCAAAATGACCGTAGCGGTCTGTGCTTTTCCTTAATTTTTGAATATTTATTTAACCTAGGTTTTAGGTTCACACGTTATTCTTTCCTCGAAAGCCGAAATAATCCCTTGAACATAACAGTCCGTAAGACAAGCGTGTGTTTTTTTAAATTTTTATAGGCTTTTAGTAATATGGTTCACATACGACTGAATACCATTTTTTTCTGTTTTATGTGGAAAATCCTATTTTATGTGGACCGTATGTGGAGCTCAGCCCCGACTGTTAGATTTAGGTCCGCCGAAAACACCTCCTACTAATTCTCGATTCCTCACCTCATTCCGAACCAGCCTGGACTTTCTTTAAATAGTACTTTAGTTTTACTAGCGGTCCTCTTTGCTTGCCATAACCTAGTATCGATCGTACATATTTTTTGCGTAGTCCACCTTTTTGTCGCTTACCACAGCCTGAAGTGGGCGCCAATGAAACACAAAGCAAAATGTGTAATTTGCACAGCGACCCGTTTTTTATGGGTCGAACGACCGTTTGTCACCGGCTAGCGTAGCTGTCTATTATTAGATGGTCATGAGAATAGCTTTATAAGTTTGCTTTGGCTAAAATAGTAGTAACAATGCTATGCGAACCCTAGCGTTATTGTATACTGTGTTATACCGTTAGACAAAAGAGGCCGTGTGGCGACAATGGAGAAGGCAAAATGCGGATGTCATGTTGACGTATTGGTCTGCTGCTAGGCATGTCTTGAGCTTTCTCTATGGGGCTGGTCACGAATGAGGTGACGCGTTGTCTACGTGAAGCGGTTCTCAACGAATACGAATGTGTAATTTTTTAGCTACACAGAATATTTTCACGGTTCATTTATCAACATCCGAGAGTCCCAATTATATGACTAACAGTTAATCAATAGTAAATAAATTTCTATACAATAAGTAGATCTACTACCCCATGTGTTCCTAAGATCAGTAGGCAACCATGTTACCACTGGGCCATCATGGAAACCTCTAATTTGGTAGTTATATCTATGTGAAGTTCGTAACTACGGATATTCAGTGCCTGTCTTTGCTGAAATAAAAGGGGAATAAGGGGGAAAGATCGCCTCGCGACAGTGCGATGCGCATAGAGGGGCAAAAAATTACCATCGCGTCTTGCTGTGGCCCAACTAATGGCCGAGATTCTGCAGATTTTTAACCAACCGAGCTATTTTTCCCGCCACCGCACCGCAATATAATTACATGATTACTACTGAAAAATGTTTACAGTTTTACGTCAGGTATTAGCCTTAAGCATTGCTTCGAACGACTGACGCATTCCCGCACGAAACAGAGTGTGCCTGTGCACAGTTTCAAACTAAGCCTAAATTTTCTAGGTTCAGTAGGCAAACACGTTACCATTAGACCGTCGTAGGGCTACGATGATTCAACCAACCTGTATACATAGGATCTGTAAAAGAGTATGGAATTAGCATAGTTGTCTATAAGTAGCACCTCTATTTTTTAGGTATAAGGGCACGTATTAAAATTCGGGATAGCTTGTCCGTTTTGACTTCGAGAGTTACGCCTACTCGCTATGGAATTTCAACAGACGAGGTCGGCCGCATGCTGTCAACAGTCGAAACTCTCGTCTGTTCATGATCATCCATGACATGCTTTAGTAATTTTTTTTCGCCGAAATCATAGCTTGGTGGATAGTTTCTTAATAACCTCAACAATCATTCACTTGACACCTATCTAATGTTAAGTTAGCAGGAAAAAAAAAGCTGTAGTCTGCTTTATACGTCCCGGCGTTTCTAGAAGCCTATTTCTCCATATAGTTTTACACAATATATATAGCATTGTGTTATAGCTTCGGATAGTTGTTTATAAAACTTAATTTGTTGCCGCCGTTGTAGCGCCAACTAGCAAAGCATAGTTGTAGCGCTGCCATCGTCACAAATAGCGAGGCCGGAAAAAATCAAAGATTTCGAATCTTCCGTTTGCTTTAAAGTGATTTTGAACTACTCGCTTGCATGATTTAGCCATCTCAACAACTGCGACTACGTGCAAGTTACGACTAGTAAACTTAATAGACAAAACTATACAGCTATGGGTCTTTTGGAAAATGCTTTCTTGCAATGGTTTACGCAAGCGGATTACTGTATAGTAGTCACAATAGAAAATTTTCTACCATGAACTTCCCAAGTATGACAAGCAACGTTAAGAGATTACGTACTGCATGCCCTTCGTTTCCTGCCGGAACATCACTCGGTTGTATTCAGTCTTTCGGTCCTTTAACGCCCTAATTATTAAAGTCCGTGACGATAATTAATGCGACGATAATGAATCACTTGATTATTACCATGTCCCATATATTTTAAACGGAAAAACGATAGATTCGGCAATGCCAAGCGCTTTTGCTTACTTTGACTTATTAGATGCTGCTCTGTAATGATTTAGTGGAAAAGTGCTAGGCTATTAAATCTGAGAAGGTGTTGGGTGCTCGAAGGCGGGCGCAGGCAGTCACATTTCGTTTCGTGCTAAAAGAGGCCGTCCGTTTGCCGGTACCAGAAGTAAAACTCGAAGCATTTACTTATTCATCCAAAGCTGTCAGAAAGAAAATTACACACGACCAAATTACCAGGTCAAATCTTCGGAGCCCTCAAGGCAGTTCGCTACCTAACTAAGCTAGTTCTGCAAAATTAGTCAGTCCATATAGATTTTACGTCGTCGTTCTCGTAAAGCATAGAGAATAGCAAACGAAGGGAATAGCGGATAAAAGTTTTGATATAAAATCATATCATATAAGACAAATATTTGTGTTTTATCTAGCGGGTTCCACTAGGCAGGTCATCGTATGAGGAAATTGGCGCAAGGCGGGTTTTCTTTATCGCAAATGTCCTGAAACGGATCTCCGGAAAACGGTCGAAAATTACATATGCTCTTTCCGAGTTTTAGGCTGTATAAGTACGCGACAAATAAAAAGGACTAGCTGATAGCGGCAGTGAGGGCCGACCTGTCTTAAGTTTACTGATATTATTAATGTATACTTTCTTTCGAAGTAATAGACTGAGCCCAAATCAATTTACTATTGAGCGACGATAAGTAGTTATATAATTTCCGTAGTTTACAGTGTGCACCTGAAAATCGTTTAAAAGGGCCGTAAAATGGGTTTAACCTATTTCAACTAGAACAACACGATCTATCATGTGTCAACTTCAAAAGCCAGAGGGGAAGTGGGCATTTGGGCAACAAGGGACTCAACGAACGCCTAGTTTTCGAATTTATGGTTTCAGCATACGGCCGATGTATGGTACATACAGGATTACGATGGTTAGATTCATCTGTAAAAATGTGTTCTGTTTTCAGAACAGTAAACGGGTCACTATTCTTATGCTCAGTTTCTAAGCAGACGTCCCGGATTACTCTACTAGTAGCAGAGTAATAAAACTTTTATTAGACATATCAGGTAAAATTTGACGTCCTTTCCTTTCTCGTTTTATTTCACGCTAAGCAGCATTATCTGAGGCTTTTACTATTCTACCTATGAAACAGTATCGCGTTGCTTGATTATCTATAGGGCCGCTCCACTTTCTGAGTATTGTGTACCTATTTTTCGTTGTAGATATCCAATGAATACCATACACGCCTAGGTTGACTGTGGAGTGGTTAAATTGAAAACATATATGTCTATAAAAACTAGTTTAAATTTCTTACTAACGATTCAGACAGGGGAAAATGTTTCTGGTATATCTGTATCAGCGAGCACAAATATATGAGCTCCACAAGCAGTTTAACAGCGCTACGCCATCAAATCAGTTTCATCGAAGTTAGATTTAATTTCCCAGCCAGAACCTAGTAAGGCATCACATATTGATACATGTTGACAAATATTCTAGGCAATTTTGTATGCGATCTATTTGCTCGGATAGGGTATATTGACCTAAACCAAAATATGAGCTCCACATCATTGAAATGGACGAAGTTTAAACGTTAAAGGTTGTTACAGTAGATTTTTATGTAAAATCTCGAAGCTAGAGCGAGCTCAGCTTAACGCTCGTTACTTGCAGCAAATCCGGCAAGCATGAATGATTTCCACGTACTCAATTCGAAGCTACATACCTTTATGCCAGTTGAAACGTCAGTGTAGGGCCTATGAGTACCGGTTAAGATGTCGAGACCGAAGAAGTCTGAATGAGGCACTGGAGCGCCGATATTTACGTTGGCGCTAAAATTTGAAAATTATGAAAAGTAGTAACTAGGTAGATATCACACCGAGAGACGTACGTTTATACGAAAAATACTGAGTTTGAGGGCAGGACCATACAAAGAGAAGTCTGCCTTTTTCTTCAATATTATATAATACCAATCAATTGATCAAGAATAATGGTGGGTAACATTGATGCTAATAAGAATAGAGGAGAAACTCATCTATACCCATTTGGTTTTTCAGATCAGACATTAGGTTCTTTAAAGCTTTTCATTATACGGAAATATCTCCATAAAGACCTTTTCATCTACAAATCTGTTTATGAACTTTGGTGAACGAGAACCTTTTCCATGGAGGTAGATCGGCTTGGAATACCTGAATTACTCGAAAGCATAACTTTTTCATCGGAATCAAGTAAATTTCTCCGAAATTTATTTATGACTTATTTTTTTCAGAAAAATGCTACTTTTTTATCTACAACTCAAGCTTAATATACTATTTCTCTAGCCCCCTTCACCAAATGAATACATATTATAACGATACATTATATCAGCAGCATATTAGCTTCCCGAAGATGCTCCTACGCCCCTGCTCAAATGGAAAGTTTGAACTTCCTATGATGACATGAATACCGATAGCCCACGCTCCTGTCACAAAACAAACCTGTTATAGTGAGCTATAGTATCGACCTTTGGTTCTAAAATATCCTGTAATATTTAAAACTACAGTTTTTCTTCTTCGAATCAGCCGATTCAGCTGAATGTCATATGTGTCTGTTTAGATTGAATAGATAGAGCCGATCAGTGTATACGGCAGATCTTCTCATCTAAGCATTAAAAATCGTATAAAAAATTGACCAATGTTTTCCTTTAACCTTTAAATCTGGCATATTTTTGCGAATATTAATGCGTCTCTTGGGGAAAGGGATCTTGAAGAGTGTTTCCTGGAGTTCGTTGATAACCGCAACTTTTTTTGTTTGTTGCTTAACTATTTGTGATAGCCAAATAACGACAATCCACCAAATCAATAGAGAAACAATGTACTTTATTAAACCGAGCTCAAAATCGTAGATTACAGAGTATAAGAAAACACTACATCGTTGTAATTGAATCGATGCAAATTCTATCCTAAAACATTTTAGATTTAGTTGATACGAACGTTTTCAAAAAAGCCTCTTAGATATATATGTTACCTAGCCCAAATGCGGTGTGTGGAAAAATCATTCTTTCAAAAGTATCCTAAAAACTAGTACGCCAATTCCTAAGTATGACAAACGCGACGTTTATGTATATATATATATATACACTTGTGAAGTTACTGTTGTCTGCGCGTGGAGCCCGACTTAGGTAGTTGAGATACGCCTGGGCTCGATGCCTGATGTTTAAAGACGAGCCAAAACAGCTGATGATCGTAATGAAAGCCTACAACTAACGACGTGGCAACTCAAGCTTTGTGGACCGAAAGGATAACAACGCCCACCTATGATATATTCGGTTAGATGTCTTCTAGCAACAACTTATTTTGCCTCCACTATATCTATAAGAACAATGCAATATCACAAAGTTAGCTGAGATCGACCGCATCATCAATGAAAGCAGCATATTGTACCTAACATGTTTTGCTTGAACTGTATATATACAAAAATCTTACATTCCGGCTGACATTACATTTGTTCAGTTTTTCTTTGCAGCTGTTCGGCGATGCGTTATCGCGCTATTCGGATGAGTGCCCCCAGGCTGTAGAGCAGGCCTCGCCAGTGGCTAAGGCGGAGGTAACTGTTTTGTGGACGGCTCCTCCGGCCGCTGGCGCCGGGTGTGTCAGCTTCAAGTACGTCTTACAGAGGCAATAACTACGTAACTTAACCGATAAAAGCATGTGCTCCTACAGTCCACAAAAGGTGATATTAGCCAAATGAAAAAAGATCGAGGCTAACCTTCGGCGGGGGTTAAGGCAGGGGAGGATGGTGAGAAAGATCTTTCCTACCTATTTAAGGGTCATAAATGTTCGACACGCTGCTAATCCTGATAGTGATTATAACCCTGTGTCCTGATACTTACTGTATAGCTTTGCTACTGCTAACAATGATATCTTAGACGACACCATTGCGAAGACATCTTCGCAGTAGGAGAAACCTAAGAATAACGAAGACGGAAAGATAAAAATTTACTTATTGTATTGATTAATTGTAACCCTAATTTAGGTTTTTACTGAGGTTTGGCAAGAATAAACGCAAACTATTTACGGATTAAGTTTTAAGGGTATCTTAGTGAATTCTTGGCAACGAACACATATTCACTGACATATTCATTCCCTAAAATATTCCAACCATATATAGCTAGTACGGTTGAGCCTGCAAGTCACTCACTACGTTATAAGGGATTCCTGATTTTACTTATTTTCAACTTTTACTTGTGGTTCCATAAGGCCAATTCATCGTACCAAAATGCTTCTAGTAAGCTCCATGTTCGTTCATAATAGCCCTAGTGTCAAGTGCTTTCGACAAGCCGCTTCCGGTTTTGACCGCTTCTTTCGAACAGATCTGTTAATGTTTTATCAAAACATTATTGTGGTCAGGCGAGAGTAAGATCGGATTTCTCCGACTCGTTAGTCGGCTCGGTAAAATGGACCCTTGACTGAGCTATAGCAACTGGTTCCTTTTCGATTGTGTAAGAGGACCCCCCGGGCCCCATTTCCAGCTGGCGCTAATCGATTCCTGTCAATTGTGATTCGTTCCGAGTCCCTTTATGATCGATTTGGACTTACTACGCATTCTCACTTACCTGCCGCCAAACACCGCGCACTCTTAGAATATGCTCCGAAAATTCTAGCTGAACTCATAACATACATGCTTCATATTCTCCATTGCTAAGGGAGGAACAACTTACGTTGGAACGTTATGTTATCGATATAGGTTACAGAGGCAACAAGGGTCTATGAACGAGTCAAACGTTGTATTGAATATATTTGCTAGAATGTCTAATGCCGTTCCAGTCGTAAAACTCGCAACAGCTTGTTTTGTATCAAGTCTTTTTTTGTTAAACACGCATTGAAATTTGTTTCATTTATTGAGGGATAAACGGCTTTGTTGGCGTACGTAACTGCGCGCTGGCACTATATCCGATGTCAGAGTCACAAATATTTTGCTAGATTTCAGTTTACTACAGTTTTATTACGTGATGTCTCAGGGTTCAGTCTAAAGGCAGTCAACTTCAAAGCGTTCCAGACGTACCACAGAACACTCGCTTAGATCTGCGCAGAAGTCAAACATTAATTTTTCAATATTAATATAACCACACAATACACCCGTAGTGAAATCGGTTCATGAAATTTCTTTACAGGGCTGCCGTCGTCGAGTATGCAGAACGCTGGTTTATGGACGATGGTAACTTGACAAAGGTAAATGGCCTAAAAAGTTACTTAAGGGAACAGCCGATGCACAATCGATTCCACCGAATAATAAAAGACTGGCTTTGTCCTAAATCCATCCTATACATACTAAGTGCCTTCATCGCTCTTGCTGGTGCCATAATTTGACAATATAAATAGACGTACATATGTCTGTTTCGTATTAGGAGTTATGCCCAGAAGAGCAGGATAATGCCGATGAGCAGCCTCCTGTGCTTGAAGAATGCTGCGCCTGCGATGAAGCGAAGTACGAAATGACCTTTGAGGGCCTTTGGTCTAGATATACGCACCCGAAAGGCTACCCTGATAGTAAGTAACCTCCATAGAGTTTGTGCCCAGCGGATATCTTGAAACAAGTGATTTTTATAAGTATTTTTTTTATATCGATACGTTTAGTTTTCTAATTAACAATCGGTAATGTTGATATTAATTCTTTTGAAGGAGTTCTCCATCTTATAACGGACGGCGAGCATTTCAAATGGTTATCAGTTGATTCGGCTGTATACAGCGGTAAACAGATGCACACAACGGACAATTCAAATCGATTATATAAATGCTCCTGCTCTGCTACTACAAAGTACAATACCATTAGGAATATATACTAGATATACTAGCTATAATAATATGAGTATAGTTGTTTTTGTAAGTACAAGAGCGTAAAAATTGCGCTTAAATCGCCATTTCCTACACATGAATCATATCCAATTATATTTAGAGGCACTCTGGGTTTCTTCTTAGCAGACCATTGAGCGGGAAACTTATAAACGAAATCAATTCAGCCCGAATGATCATTATCAGCGTGTTTTTCTGTATGTACTCTTACCATTACTGTAGATGAGTGGCTGACGCACTTTTCGGACATAATTGGTGCATCCCACGCGGCCGACTTCAAGATGTGGGAGTATGATGGCTTTGCCTCAGAAGGTGTTCGCAGTGTAGCTGAACACGGAGCCACAAAGAAACTCGAAGCTGAGCTCAAAGCCCAGGTAACCCAAATATGTATTAGCGCACATGTTAAAACCCTTTATACCCATTGCAGGTAAGTGGGCATCGACAACCGCTGAAGCCATACTAGACAGTGTTATTTGTAGGATACGATTACTTTTGTCCGCATATGCGCTCAAATCTGTTTGTTAAGTCGCTCCTCTCTAGTATATGTACATATAAATATTATCAACATTGCCCATTATTTAAAGCTACGTCTTATGAGAAGGGCTCAATCTGCTTAAAATATATAAAAACAAATTACCTATTTTTTGTCATTTTATAGTCAGGAAAAATTCGTACTATTATTAAAGCTCGCGGATTGTGGTATCCGAACGTAAACGGCAAGACGTTCGCTGTATTTCGTGTAGATCGCAAACACCACGTGATGTCCGCTTTGTCGATGCTTGGACCCTCCCCAGATTGGCTGGTCGGAGTGAGTTCACTCGAGTTATGTCTGAAGAATTGCTCTTGGTTAGCCTCGAAGACAATAAATCTCTATCCGTGGGACGCCGGTACTAGTGATGGTCTTTCATATGTAGTCGTAAGTATGAAATAACCTCACACAAAAAGGACGTCAGTTGTTTAACCGCATGCGCAAACAAACTTCCTTTTCGTGGCAAAATGATCTGTATACATACGTGTGTATGTGCGCACTTTTTTGTACACTATAAAAGTACTGGGAAGTGTGTATTGGATTGTAATTAAAGAAAAAAGAATAACTGGGGCACCGCACTGGTAGCTGTTAACGACAATCACTTTTGTAGGTAAAACGGAGTTCGATTAATCGTGGACATTTTTGAGATATAACTAACATTGTGTATAGTCATTATTATCGTAATTCACTGCGAAAGGTGATAATACGAACCTGACTAGCCCCTGTCTTCCTTCACGAAAAAATTTCCTCATCACGACGAGTACTCACTTTAATGTCTACAAACTGAACGATTGGAAGGGGCTTCCAATGTTGGTAGGCTCCCTATAGGCTCCTATAGGCTCTCCCAGAACTTCGGCAGTAGTTAAGCAAATCAAAGAAGACTACTGTGATTGTTTTATTGCAACAAAAGAATAACTACTGGTCAACTTTGCATCATTAGAACCAAATAAAACGATATCTGAAAATCTAATGTGATAAATTTAACAAAATGTCATTTATCATGAAACCAGGCACAACGCGAAGCATCAAGCCCTCAGCAGCGAATTCATAAAATCACGTCGTCCTTCCCAGCGGATCCAGATTCTCCTTTCTTTGATCCCACTGGAACGCCTATGAAGCCAGTCGCAAAACTTACCATTACAAGGCAACGACTCTATGAGAAGGTTTGTAACGTGCCTATAGAAATTATTGGAATGTACAATCCAAATTAATGCAGGTCCTTATTTAAGGGGGAGTCGCTAGCGCTATTTGATCATTAGGCCTAAACAGACAGGCTGGCTTCCTGCGCAAAAGTATGACCCCTCCTCCCCCCCTCCCGTGCGTCCTGTGAACTTCACAAAGTAGTAGACACTATGTTTCTTAGTTTTAACTTTGCGAGCTGTTCCCTTTGCTTCAAAATCTCTTATGCCGGACTCTCGCACATCACTCAACACTCTCGCGACCGAATGATCAAGTGTGTAAACCCCGTTATGTCGTTTCCTGAAGAAAATCGCATTTCTTCTGTTATGTGTCGTACTCCAGTGTTGCTAGTCGCCGTACAAATCGCCAGCGTGTGGTTTATATCTTCCAGGCCCGTAGTGAAAAGAATATATACCTAATAAGGCTTTACCAATTTTGTAAAGATTATCTTGAAACGGCCCGTGACTCGTAAGTATCTGTAAGGGGTAATAACGGAGCTCCCCACCCGGGGTGCACTTCAGGGCTGTATGTTTGGGATGATGTTTCCTACTGCCGCTCCTGAAACCAAATTAGAGTTTTGCCTTCCGCCAGATCGAATATATCTATTATATACCGCATCGCGCCGCATGTGCCTTTCTTTGTCTTCCAGATCCTAAAAAATTATGCCTGCCTCAAGACCAAGGCCACGTTTGATCTAACCGCACGGTAGGCTCGAAGTACCCTAAGCGCAAGGATTTGCTGTGCACTTCTGAGTAGCTTCTTGACTACGACCCCCATAAATTTGGGTAATGTTCAGACAGATGCTCTGAAGAGCACAGTTGATTCTGCTGGTGCTCTGAGAAACCTCGTCTTTTTTTCCCGTGGGCCACAAATGTTTTGGTGGGGATTCTAGTTGCTTTTGTGACGGCTTGCTTGATGTGATGCACCCCCTCATTGTATGACCGAGTTGGATGCTTAAATATCTCAGCGTTTTTACCTGGAGTATTCTTTCCTCGTTAGCACAGCCTCTGAATTTGCAGAGGTTAAAGACAGCCTACGCTGTTTCATTCATATCAAAGTCTATTTAGCAGTCTGGTTTACACTTCTTTGAAGTCCTTCTGCCGTTCGGTCTTGAACTATGACTGCGAAGTCATCTGCACAAGGAATGGTTCCCACTTCTAAAGAAAGATTGCTAAATTTTAATACCCCACAATATGTCAGGATCAACAAGAAAGAGTCCAGGGTGGATTTTTGTGGAATCCGCACTGCCATAGAAAAGAACGTCCCATAGGTGGTCTGACACCAGGAAAATTAAATACAGGAAGATTTTTGCTCCTCTCAAACATGAGAGCACTGTCCACCACGGCAGGCTATTAAAAGCATTTTCTATATTTAAGAAGATTGTAGAAGAAAGTTACTTACCTCTATCGAGCTTCCTCTCATGTTTTCAGCCATTCTAAGGATCTTATTGATTGCTCTTAGAATTGGTCTGTGTTTTCGAAAGCCATACTGACCTTCGGACAGAAGACCCTTTTCTTCGGCAAAGTTTCTAGGCTTACGCTCCATTAGGGCCTCTGTGCCTTTTGCAAGCATCTCTAGCAGCCATTTAGATCTGTAGAAACTCTCACTTTTTAAGTATAAGTACGATTTCACCTTTTTTCCACTCTTGTAGGAGACAGTTGAGCTGAGTATCCGCATGGCAACTATAGCGACCATAATAGAGAAGTCCTTAAAAAAGTCCTTGTAAGTATGGGACCTTGTCCGGTTCTGTACTTTATCTATTTTAGTACGTTCTCTTGTCTTCAGTAATCCTTTTTCCCTCGTAACAGGAAAGGTTTCTTTCTCAGGGACTGAGTTGGTAAATTTAGGTCGGTCAGAGGATTGATGAGGTGGGAAGAAGTATCTCAATACTTCCATTTTTTTCTTCTTCAGGCAGCATATACTTTTTCGTTCTGTCCGTTTCGAGCTCATAAGAGAGATTCTACAAGTTTTCCTGTATTTATTACAGATTTTTTCAGCAGCTGCTCTTAATATCCTCTTATCTATTATTATTTTATTAGACATTTATTTTCTGTGCGCTTTTCTTTACGTATAGCCTTCAGTAGCCTCTTGCAACACATCAAGATCGCCGCCGGCCTTGGTTTGTCCAATTTTTTTTTCTAACTCGATTACAATTCTGAACTGTTTTTTTTTACTTCATCAGTAATTTGGGTTCAATTTTTGACTTATTGTGCGGGACCCTTTTACTACGTAGATTTCTACTAACAGTCGTTGTAGATTTTCGCTACTCTGGGGGTCTCCATATCTCTGCACCTAGCGTTTTATGGCTTACTCCCTTTGTTTGCTTAAAATGCACAGAGCACTTTATAGCATTATGATCACTTAGTATTCTTTTTTGCCAAGTAATCCCTAGCCATCAAGTCGAGCCGCCTGATCCACTTTGCATATCGTGAAGTCTACGAAGTAGAAGCCGCGTGACCTTGAGAAGTCAGCGAGCCGCCCGCACTTAGCGTTGCCAGGTTATGTGTAACCATCCGCTCGCAGCTGCCGACTCCCTCAATCTGTCCTTCAAGCTATACAGCTCTGACGCCATGCTAACGTTTTAAGCAATGACCACTAAAACGTCTTTTACTTTGATTATCCATTCCGTTATGCTCTTTGGAATCCTGTTCAAGTCTTCTATAGTTCCATTAGAACTTGAGTAGCAGGAGCAGATGTCAGCGGTCTGCACTTAGGAAGACCGCTCTCCACCTCGCTACTCATTACAATCCCTTCTCTTCTTCATTATAATCTCTTCTTGACATGAAGACTTCATGTCATTAGTCGATTGTTCTGTAGACCAGTGTTGGGCTCGGTAATAATTAGTATATCAGCCCCTTCTCCCAAGCGAGCTCCTTGAGCGGATAGTGAGAGGTGTCGCTCCCGCTACAGTTATCATGGAAGACTCTGGCCACTGCTCACTTACACGAAGACTCTTCATCTCACATTGTTCCTGCTAGGGGAAAACGCTATTCTGTCGCTTTCGTTCTTGGTGTTCACTGTTATCTCGAAGTTATCACCCTCAGCAGCCTGCCTTGACAGAACAGGCATTGCAGGCGATTCATCTGTGCTATTCGTTGGGGTCAGAGTTGTAGTAGCAAGTGCTTTACCCATGCCATTTACTCGCATTCATCTGCGAGTTTTCTTCGCGATACTTTCTCTATATTCGAGCAATTTGTCGAACTTGCAGGATAGTCTGCGCCGCAACAATTAGTTGTGGCAAGAGGGTTCATCCCTGCAACTTTTAGAACATGCCCCAATAACCCACTCCGGTGGCATCTATTCTTCGTGACAGCCTGGTCAGGGCACTCAAAAACTTTGTGCTCTACCGTGACCTGTTCGGTAAGCGACACATCCTATACACGATTTGCCGTAGGCTAGAACTCTGTATACCGTTGAAATGTTTGTACAATGGACCAAGTAGTGCCATTCATTGGCCCATTTGCAACGAATGGCCTCGATGACCCTAGAGTTTGCTTCCGCAGGAATCTTTTCTGTAAGATTTCTGATTGGAAGGCGCTTGTGGAAGGTAATGCTTACTGATACCGATACATCCCATTCCTCAGAAACTCGTGAGATGCTCCCGTGCATGCTTTTCTTACATTGATACTAACGTCACTGTTCCGTGGAACCTTAGTCGCCGTGATCTTAATCTGATGTTGCAGAGAATCCACATTCCGCTAAACCTTGTTCAAGATATTTGCAAAAGATGTTTTATTACTGACTTGAAGGTTTCGCTGAGAAGGCTTTCAACCTCGTTTAGTGAGGCCTTTTTGTTCCGACCATCTTATGGCTTTAAGCTCTTTTAGGCCACTTTCGATCTAGTAAAAACCTAGGCTTTTCCTTCCTTCTCGCTTATCTCATCCCAAATATGTTATGAGGCCCACGATGGCGTCAAGCAAAGTTCGAACAACCAGATTCACTTTTCCTTCGAGCATATAGATCGCTTTGCAAGTTTTTTAACGTCTTTTTAGCGGCTAGTTTGCAGTCCCTGCTTACCTCCCTAATTGCTAGACGCCTTCTTTTTACCCATGGAATTTCGGTCCACGTCTTAGGAATCACACGGCCCAGTTAACTCTCCGCCTCCCATTACCCCCTCCCCTACAAAAACCTCTATATACGACCCATGTGCAACAGTATTTGGATCTCTGACTTGTACTTCCCCTCCACCAAGAGGTTGCAAGACCAGCAAACTTGCTTCCTATGTCTTAATTTGTCCAACACATAGCGTTATATGCAGTAGGGCAGTTTAAACTGTAATGTTAGCGCAAAGTTTTCGAATATTCGCTATTAATAAATAGATTTTGCTCTGACCTGGCCTGCCACGAATTTAGTCTGGCAAGCCGCACGTACAATTTGAAATAAGGACCGTTTGCTAACAGATTTAATATTGTTAACGACGGAAAAAAACTATCCATGCATGATGCCTTTAATTGCTGCAGTTTCATTGTGCAATGCTGGCAGAAGCAGGATAGGAATCCGTAGACAATTTTCAAGGTCAATAGGTCCATTAGATCGTAGGTCAATTACGACCGCTTTTCGCGAAATTGAAACCGATTGTATCTGCCAATAGTTTTCTGTTTTTTTTTTTGAGTTTGCTTTATATAATAATTTATATATTCTTGGAGTTTGCTTCTTGTATATGTTTGAGTATGCATAACATTAGGTTCTCGCAAAGTTTCTTATTGATATCTATTTACAAAAGTTCACAAATAGTTGTGGTTATTTTCATATAAAGCTGATATTTTTAGTTTATGATTATTCTTGCAGCATTATATATACAAGCATTTGTGTATTTCTGTAGGGTGCGGTGCTAGTTCTCTCTCGCGTAGATTTACTCCCTCCTATAGAAGGCATCTGCATAGTTCCTGAAGGCTTTAGCTAGAATCCGTAAAGTGAGCCTGATGTGGAGTCCTTGCCGCTACTATGCCCTATAGAGAATAAACAGAGTAAACGATAGAACGCTATTCTCAGCTCGGCCGAGATTTTTTGAAAAGTGCGTAACTGCTTTAAATTAGTGTGCGTCTATGTTAGAACATAAAGACGAGCATGAGGACCACTGCTATAGGAAAAAATGTTATTCAGCTTAATTGCATTACATGTGAGATTTTTCTCTTAGTTTGTGTGCCATCTAGGATAGTAACTATTAATTGTAAACGTTCCCTATCATCCTAGGTTTCGTGCGATAACGAGGACAACGAACCGAGCAATGGAGAGTCACGTCATCACGTTATCAGCATCAGTGAGGACTCAGGTCAGATTCTAATCTGTAATGTTTGTTGGAGAGGGATACTTCTGTCGGGTTAGTCTATTAATCTAGCCGTCATTATCCAACTTAGATTTGCCAAAACCAGTGACTGATCAAATGGTGGACATTGTAGCTTAGGCCCAATTTACAGCGGGGTTAGTAACCCAATTATCGTCCTAAGCACCACTCGACTCGCCAGTTTCCAACAGCGGTGCTTGTCTATAGTATACTTCAAACTAGTAACCAGTACTCCTATATAGTTCGAGCAGTTTCTATAAAGCAGATCATTGCAGTGCAAACCATCGCCTGTGCGTTCGGCTGCAATATGTTGCAGGTTTCGAAGGATCGAATAGCAGTATGGGTGCCGGCAGCTCCGCGTCAGGAAGCTCCTCGCTAGATGCATGCGCGGTCGGTCCTTGGGGCGTATTTGGTCCCTGTTCGGCGTCTTGCGGCATCAGCAACAGCGGGAGCGGCGTACGAGTTCGTACGCGCGCCTACCTGCGGGGTGAAGCGGCTGTGGCAGCTTACTGCCGAGTCCAACTAATCGAAAGTGCACCGTGCGAGGTAGAATGTACCAAGTAAGTGCCACATAACAACCATTCGTAGTCCACTTCACGCATTCAGCTCGAGTGACATGATCAAGCTGAGCTCAATCAGCAGCCATCTTGGCCAAATTAGGTTAAATCCAATATGTATTCTCTGAAATTGGGTAGGAGGATCGCGTCTCCATCTCATCTGCTTGTCAATTACCACATGCTAGTAATATGGGTCATATTAGCATTGAATGCTTGCCATTACGCTTTCACGGAACGTACGCACAACAACTTCAGTGCAAAGCTATATGCGGGAAAAGAGCCGTTAAGTATACTTGAAGAGATGTCTTGGTGCAGACATGCGTGCAATATAAACAGGCCAATACTAAACGACGATCTCAATGAAAATGGAAACGGCTACAACAACAACAACAACTTCAAAAATAGCTAACAAGGCGCTGCGCTTGCAAAGTCCGCATGATGTGAACCAAAACACTAGAAAGAGAAGGCTAAAAGGCAGAGACTGTCTGCCCTTGCAATTCACGATGCCTGACCAATCGTTGTTATGCGGTGTATCTACATGCATGAGCCTACACCTCAATTTGGGTCAAAAGCTTAAGAACGATACAAGCGACGATGGGAAACTGCAAGAAGTGCTGCAGGTGTAAGTACGACAGAACGATAAATTTTTACGAAATTGATGATGAAACAAATGATGATGACGACGACGACGATGCTGATAGGTAGTGAGCGTGATGCTGCGTCAAGCTGACGAGGCCAGATGACGCCGGTCCCATACATTCACGGCGAACGCGCTCGGACCCCTCGGTCATCGAAGGTGCCACGACGCTAACCGTCACCTAACTCCTTGTCGTCTTGCTGTAACGAATTTACGTAAAAATTTGCATTTATAACAAAAATAGCGCTGCGTGGTGATTGAATAAAAAAAGGGCTACTTATTCTCCTCTGTACATGTCATTTATGGAAGGACGAAAACACAAGCACAGGCGATTGTGGCGGCATCAATCGCTGCGTCGACTAACAATGAACAGAAGCGTAGTAGTATAGGACACTCGGTCGTCTTAGTTTGGCATAGGTCATCTAAATCTGAAACACTAATCGACTGCAGCAATATCTGTGTGTGTCTTTGAAATGATTGGATGATAGAAAGGACAGAAATTTCAAATCGTACATAGGCCATATAACTGAACAACTAGTAACAGCTGCCTTTATCATTACAGTGGAATATCATGCGAAGCGACACCGTGGACGGAGTGGGCTGAATGCAGCGCCACATGCGGAAAGGTGTGAATACTGCAGGGTGCGCTACAGATCGCACAGTTGGGAGTTTCCATCGGCTTGAGCTGGAATTGTGAATAGTAACATTGTAATAGTGTATAACAAAGACTGAGCCTTTTTCCTGTAGGCAAGCAATCGGGTCACACAACGGGATATTATCTGGTAGGATTGGGGTGCTAATTGAGATGGCTACATTAATGACCAACTTCGCTTCCAAAAGTACTATTAGTAAAGCTTACTGAAAATGTTTTCCTTCAGAGTAGCGTCAAGTACAAGGGCACTAATCTTTCTAATGCCCTAACATGATCAGTCACTGTTGTAGGCCGCGGATGCTTTCGGCCTTGTCATGGTAAACCGTCATAAAAATTTGCATTCGTACTTTTTTTGATACCGTAGCTTTTGCACGCTTTCGATAATGCATAGTGAGGCTGATGTTTTTCCAATGGGTCTGTTTATAATTTGTATGCTTATCATGTTCACGTTTCATAATCACAGGGAGTCCGCTTACGTCGAAGGAAATACAAACATCACATGGCTCGTCGCGTCTGCTCCGTCGATCTTATGGAGAAGGAGCAATGTGAAGCGGCCATTGCATACTGCGTACCGGAGAATGTAAATAGACATGGTTGATTTTTTCCTGTTCGTGTTATTTACCAGCATTTACCGTATGAAACTATCCAAAAACTGCTACATATGCACACAACATGGACGCGCTCCTGTTTGCTAAATTTGATAAAACTCCGCCTTTCTAGACATAATTCGAAATCACGTAAAAAGCGGTAGATTACGAGCGATAAGCAATAGAATAATAATATCTTCACCTAATGTCTTAGAACAAATATTTTGTGCCATTTAAAAGTATCTCTGATAACTTTAATAAGAGGCGCCTTATGTAGTTCTACCGGTGCTCACCTAATCAACGAGCTGAGCCCCGTAGCGGCTCATACCTTGCACAACCCTTGTCCCGTGAAGAACTCATCAAATCCCGCGGACGACAAAACCTGCTATCGCAGTTGACTTATGAGCTTCGTCACATTGTTTTGGTCGAAATCACTGTTCATCTGTTACACAAACTACCGAACCACGCACATACTCTGCCTAATCCTGGATTGTTTGTCTTGTTTATTTTTTTAAGACGGTCCTCTTAACTTAGCCCACCCATATTATTGAATAATATAGTAATATGTCACAAAGCTTGCAAAGGTCGTTCTTTATTAAACCTTAAACGAATCAATTAATATGAGCTATTTTTTCATTCACATTTACCAGATTTCTCCAGCGTGCGCGGTCAGTCCATGGTCCGAGTGGTCTTCGTGTTCAGCGTCGTGCGGGACCGGGTTCCGCGTCCGGACACGAGGCTATATTAATAGACGGCAAGCTGTCATAGCTCGCTGCGGCATAGAGCAACTTCAACGAGCCGTGTGTCGATCAAAGGTAATGATATCCAAAAGTGACTTATAGCATTGGACTGAGTTATCTAGACGCACGGTTTGAATTGAATAATGAAGGGGATCATAAAGCAAGTTTCATATCAGGCGTCTAGCCTGATCAGACGCTATTGGACAAGCTTACGTAGAAGAAAAACGCTGGTAGAAATTTAGGCGCTGGTTGCTTTAGGTAGGCAGAAACAGCCCTGTTTAATTTAATTCGGCCGGTCTGAACAGCGCACTACTAATAGATACAAAACAATAGCTTATAGCCTACAATGATGAATATGGCCAATTTTTATTATCTAATTAACGATTCAGTAATCATTTTTGGGCTCCTAAGTGTGTCGGATACTGCTTGTATATGCACTGAATATCCTCTAAAGACCTTAATACCTTCTTCACTCCCTGGTTATTTCGCTGTTGAACAACCCTGTTGACGAAAAAAAGTGTTCTGAGGAGTTGTTTGTGATTCTATTATATTTATTATATATATATATATATATTATCGGAAACTGGAAAGCAGCGATGAAAAGCCTATAGTTGTATTTAAAAGGAATTCGTTTCTTCCTCTCGATTTATACCCGCTTACGGCCGCCTTCCTTCTCTTCCGTTATATTTGTTGCGATTTCGGACCCTTATTACATTTGAAAACGATGACGAACCATTGCCGAATGAGGCCCACGCCAAGTGCTCAGAGTTATATGTCAACTGTAGGACACAAAGGTGCCTGCCTTCCGATAGAAGTGGGTGAGTTACGGTAAATTGACGATTTACTCAGAACGATGGGCCTTTCCGGCAGGTCATCATGTCGCTAACGGTAGGAAGGGTCGGCAGCCTTTATGTCTGTCTCCCTTCCCGAATTACATAGGCCGAGCGAGAAGCCAGAATGACGTAGGTGACAGACAGGGAAAAAGACAGGGGTAAGGGCAAGAGCGAACGGAATGGCAGCGGCCAGAGAGAAAGAAGCAGGCGGAGACGATATAATTACTTGAAGGGCACTCGGGCCGAAAGAAGGGAGAAAATAAGCAGTGGAAGAGCTTATCGACATTTGTGTTGAGTAGCTGCCGTAAGCTTCTGCTATTTGCTCTTAGTTTGCATTATCACTATTACTCTGTACATTCATGATACTGTACACAACAAGAGAAGAGAGGCAATGATAGGGGGGCGTGATTGTGAACAACAAGGAGGTGCTCAACGGGCCTTCTGCTTATAAGCAGCTTAATTAGAAAAGCCTAGATAATAAATATACGGAAGGCAGAAGGCGCAAAAGCGATATGCCATGAGCACATGGAACAGAACAATCAAATGGGCACTAATTCAACAATGTTGTTTATGCTTATGTAAATAACAGGTGGAGTGCGGGGACAACGAAAAAAAAGGTTAGTACACCCACAGAAGACAACAGCTATAGTATATAATAGAGGCTTGTATTAGGTTATGTATAATAAAGGCTGTACTGAGGTGTAGAAACATACTGGACAGAAGGAATTGTTAGGAGTGAAGAACAACAAGCGTTGACAAATGTAAGTTGTAAGACAATCGTTTCGCTGCAATGCTGATGTGTCCACCGCTTGAAATCTACGAGTGTCGCACGCTCTTCCGAACTTGGGAGTCGGGTACACAGTCCGCCTGATCACCGTATTTAGGCGAAGGACCACTTTTCTTTGCCGATTATACGCGACGACGGTAATATCGTTATATAATACAACGACCTAACGCTGAATTGGTAATCGATCCGTATGACTGGTTAGTTTGTTCTGGCTTTGAATTCGATTAATTAAAATTTTTCTAATAAACAGGAAGAAAATCTTTCTAGGAACTCTTTTTAAATATGTAGCGTATTTGATTTAGCGGTTAGCTCCACGCGTGGCATGTGACATGTGGGATCCATCGTTTTAAATTTCCTCGTATCTTATATTTGGTCTGAACAGTGAGCCGACTTTATTTAGTAATAGCGACCTTGCTTTGGGCCTAATTCTGGCGGAACAATCTTTTGCATGGTACACACGACCACTTACACTTTTGTGTTTATCGTCAAGGCGTTGTACCGGACGCTTTACGTGTCTTTCTTGCCTCATTTTCGACCTCATACAAGTTAGGAAATATATTTTGTGCCAATAATGAATCAAAACAGTGAACGCTATATAGGCTCATGCCTACAAACAGATCTAGTAGACATTCATATAAACACGCTACGCCGTGTCAGGCTTCAGATCATACATTGTCATCGATCTTGGTCGACTCGTAACGTCCTTACTTATCCTGGATACCATATGTTTGTTCATCATAGGCATATTATTGTAGGACATTCTTTAATGCTAAGCTAATGTTCTTCTAATACTTGACGCTGCTGTTCGCTTTTTAATCATTACTTATATACTCTTTTGCGCTGCCAACCCTCGAACTGTTACTTTCTTTGGGCTAAGTCTGTCCGTTTCAATACCGCGGCTGAGGGCGTACTGCGGCGGCCGACTCGTTATTGGGTTCTCCGAATAGTTAAGGCTCGTTCGGAATCAGAATACTTAACCTTGTTTGAGTTCCTCCGACTAGACTTCCCGATATTCAGCACCACTGAAAATTTTGATCAGCCTATTAAACAGATTAGGGTGCCGCGTCAATCTAGTGCTTTTAGATGGCAATACAAAGAGCACATGGGTGCTTGACACAGTGCTTCGTTCTGTTTCTTTCTAGGCTCTTCTCCACTTCAATTTCATAGACCAGCCCCGCTAAGGAGAACTCTAATACGAGGAGGTACAGTTTTGTCAATACTCCTGCAGGAGTACGCGTAACTGCTACCGTATGCAGACAGGCATGTTCTCCTCTTTATAGGCCCAAGTGTTGATTTTATGTTCCATTTTCTGAGGCCCGCACGTAAACGACCTCTGTGCCTCAACTGTGTTCATATCTCACGGAGGCTTGCGTCTCAATCTTTTGACTACTTGCCTATTGCGAGTTTTCTATATTCGTTCAATAGCGCACGATTTCAAGGTCTGCGACTTTTTTTTTGAAAATTCTGAATTTTTAATATATGATTATAATTATTAATCTGTATTGCTTCTCAAGGGATTTATTATTACGTTTCGGAACTAAATAATGATTCAAAACTAGTTCAAGGTTCCAGACGAATGCGCATATCAACCAGAAAACTCCGTGAGGTAACAGCCTAGGGAACGTTATTTCTAAAGATCGCTCAGTTAATCTTTGACTGTTATATTCTTTCACGGTTCACCATTTAGCATGCTACTTGTATTGAAAATAAACGATAATTCAATAAAAGCATACAAATGCTCTAAAACATAACACTATATCTGTATATAGTCTGACTGTATAAGAAGTATCCAACCTTGTTTGTCCCCCAAACTTTTTAAAGGTATATATTGTTCCAACTATCCTATAGCCAATATGGTGCACTTCTGTTTCGGTACCCAATCCCTGTCTACGTTAACTCGGTAACACGGTTAGTAGTAACATTGACGTTCTGAGTACTATATTTATTTAAAGGTATCTCAGAATGTCTTTTTCCTTCACGACCTTCAGTCATCACAAGATTACACTTGGACGAGATCTTCTCCAGAAATCCTAATGAGATTTATCTTATAGCAGTATCTATAAACGTGTTTAGATTAAATACGATCCACTCCAACAAGATCAGATGGGGTTAGAATGAAGGGGATCAAAGCAAACAACATAAGCTTTTACGGTTTAGTCTCGGACAAAATGGAAAAGAGTCTTGTAGCAGACATGTATTAGCTTCATATTAACCTGGAGATCAATACGGCTATAACCGATTTTACTGAATACGATTGTTTCCATCACTAGTCTCATCAGGGTGTCAAAATATCATAACAAATTGACGGCGCTGCCACCGCAAAAATCTTCTCAAACTATATCTAATATATAATTTCTTCCCTATAAATTGTTGCAACTAATTCAGTAAAAAGATTTACCATATCCTAGTAAATATCTTTATCTTGAAAATATCACAGACTCGCAAATCGACTTAATCGCATTACTACATTTTTGAAACCCGTGGAAATTACGCCCTCGAGAAGAATATGCACTGGTCTAATCCGACCTTTCTTCTTTTTTTTTTTTAATAACATTTATAAAGCCATAGCTTAAGAACTGTTATTAGCTGCGGTATATTATTGCTTGATCTTGTTCCCTAACCAGATTGCAATGATAGATGTATTATGCATGCTTTGGTTGTTATTCTAACAACTGTCAATCTTAGTGTATAAAATACCGTTTAACCTTTTTCGTTCAATTGCGCGCTCTATATCATATAGCCCTATCGTATTTTGGACTCTGGGACGGAATTTACAAATTTAATTACACACACAAACGTTACCTTCATTACAAACACAAAAAAAACCTATGTACACTTAAGTTTTCAGTTGACTACGTTCCAATGCGCTATACCAGCTAAATCGAGTCGTGCATCGTTCGGGATCTTATATCTGAGGAACAATGTTCAATATTTGTTGCAGGCCCGAAAGCAAGCCATCAGCTACCCGGAGGGCACCGGGGGGGCTGGATGTCAGGAGGAAGCAGTAGCAGCCTATCGGGTTGGGGTGGGGCACCGTTGTTCGAGCCGCCCGTGACGGTCGTCTCTGAAGAGGGCGATCCTGTCGATTGCGTTCTGACCCGATGGTCAGAGTGGGGAGCATGCACAAAGGTACGTGACATGATGATGGGTTCGATTACATCTTGTTCTAGACAACTGCAGAACCGAGGTCACTTATTCCATAGCGATTTTTTGCCTCCGTCAGAGATCTTAGTCCTATGGTTCCCGAATGCATCGGTATCTAACGTACATTCTTAACCGCTGTGTCTTGAACAGCCTATTACGTGAATGGGTTTGGTGGAACGAAAGGGTACCTCACTTTGTCCAGATCCGCCGATTCTCGAAAGACATTCAGTATCAGTAGTGCGCATAACCCCCGATGACATATCAATATAGAGGTTAAATGACGAATGTATATTTCACTGGTCGTACATAGCAAATAGTGTCACCATAATCGTCTTCAATCTAAATTAAGTTCAGCCAAGTTAGAGAACTTCTCTGTAACGGACCCGTTTCCTGCAGCCGAATAGGTGTTATGATTATTTCCTGCTCAAAAATGTATTGAACCTTTATTGTGGCGTGTTAGACGTGCGGTCTCGGCCGGAGAGAGCGGCGGCGAATGGTAAAAAAGAACCCAGCGCACGGCGGAAAGTCATGTCCGAAAAAGCTTGTGCAACGACGAAGATGCCGTGAAAATCCGCCGTGCAGATCCGGTATCAAGCAACGTAAGTTAATTAATAGACTCTAGGTATTTTACTGGAGACAATTACATGTTGCTGTTCTGCAAATCAAAACTGGAGTACTATGATTGCCCTGCGAGCTTTCACCGAACCGCGCATGCGTATCACATACCGTTAATGTGTGGGAAGTACGTGCGCGAACCTCTGCCACGTGCCCATCTATATAGTAATACTATGAACAGCACCAGTACATAATCATCTGCTATTCGGTGCGATGGTGCCCTTTCGTTCTGAAGCATCATAATCTGCACTGCATTAAAGAACGGATGCGGTTTACGTTGTGTATGATTCTGTAGTTTTCTACTCTGCTATAAGTTGAGGGCAATGGAGGCTAACATTAATTTATTAATTAACATTAATTTATTAGCTTTATTTTGGCTTCATTTGGGGATCGTTTACTTCGCTGTTATTTACAGATTCTTTGGTGACAAGTTTGGTGCCCTATGCGGATAGTTTGGCGATCATTTCGGTGCCACTAGTACCGTAAAGGTAAATTACTTAGACTACGAAGAAACACTCGAGTGCAATGGTAGCAAATGGCGGAAAACATGACACGAAGAGCGTTTCTGCGACATTTGCCAACGTCTGAACAAACGAGAAAATTAACTCTGGCTCGAAAGGAAATCCGCTTTTTTTTAATTTGTTTTTCTCTTTTCTGCTGTTATTATAACGGCTGTCTTTCTCATAGGTACATTCACTGAAAGTTGTAGACGAATAGTCAAATACAGTGAAGGATAGGCATATGCCAACGCATAAAACAGGAAAGACTTCGTTGCTAGTTTTTTGTTAGTACGGCCTATCGGGACGCAAACGGCATTTGGGCCCGGGGTTAATAGGATACTCAATGTTATCCTATTATAATACTGCTCAAAAGCTGCCTCTGTTTGAGCGGTAGTATATTTGAAGCTGCAGATGCGTTTTCATTTCAAACATCATCTCAATTCTAGTTAAACGGTGTGTCGTACTGAAAGGTAGCTTCTGTTACTTTGGCCCGATTTGTTCGATGTAGCCATTTTCGCGAGTGAGAGCGATTCTACATAAGTCATTTATTATCTTAGTATGATACTTAGCATATTTCTAGAACAATTGATTTATTAGCGAAATCATGCACAATGTGTAACAATTCTAATAGTTAAATAATTTCCCTTTCAGACTAATGGCTGTAATATATAATAATTATATATTATTTACAATGGAAAGACGGATTACATCAAAGAAGCAGGTGTACAGAAGCAACAAGTAAGTATAAGAAAATGACTAATAAACAATTGTGTTTTTTTTTTTGTCCAGCCGCGTAACTGTACGAGGTTTTTTGATCTTCTATGTTTTTATTAGTTTTTCTTCTTTAAGACTTTAGTGTTCCGTTCGTTAAGCGTGACAATAAGCATAAACATTCAAGTTGGTACCCAAATGAGAAATAATGACATCGTAGATACATTTTTGGAGATGGGGCATAGTATGCTTTACTTGAAAGAATGCCAATTCTTTGTCGGGGCACATGCGATCCATACTACAGAAAACGTTACCTTATAGATTTATACAAAGAAGACCTTTCTAAAAAAGCTTAACATGTATTTTATTTAACATACATAACCTAACAAAAAATCATACCTATGGCTGTACTGTGCGATTCTAAATTATGCTTTATAAACGATTGGACCGTTTCAGATTTACCATGCAATTAATGACAAGGGTTGGTCGCCAATGCAGGGATAAACTCCGGAACGATTTCGTCTTGAGTTATTTGTAGAAAGATATGCCGCGTGGTCGTTAGCAGCTGATACTGAAATACGCTACGACGAACGTAGACGTAATAACGGATATATATCGAAATCTGGCGCGCGAAATTGCTCTGAGAAGTTTCGACGACGCGCCCAATAGACAAGTTATTATATATTACTCGCCGTACGCAGACGAATTTTCTAGCATTTACGTGCGTTCAGCGCTGAACGGCAAAAGAACTATGTTTATTACCAACTAGCACCTATGCTGTAAATCTCAGTAGATCTGCATAGAGTGCATTTTTGAGGCTAGATTTTCAAGTTGTGCGGGACGAGGTCGTTCGCCTTTATAGAGTCAACAGTACACATACAAACACAGTCTATTTGTAAAACGAACTTTAATAGTCCGCTCGTGAAGTCGTAAACATTTAGCTTAGGATATGTGTATACAGTGCTCAAATGAGGGACGTGAATTCCTTGTGCGCCTCCAAGTCTTTTTTTTTTTGTCTTTTTTTTAGTTAGACTTACTGTTGTTCACCCATAATAATCAATTCGATTTATTTACACAGATTGTGTAGTATGCGTCGTTGGCAGGACCTGAAGCAGGCACGCCTGCTATCTACTAACCGGAAGCTTCCAAGCCACCGTATCTGCATATGTTAATAATGCCTTTACAGCACATTTCTAGATGCTCATGTTTTTCTACACACAAACACGATCTCGTCGGACAGCTGTAGTCGATTAAAAAAGTCAGGCTAAGATTCACTGGTCATCGGGTAACTTTCAACCTATACGTTTGTAGATGTAGCGCTATCCCGCGAAGCGCACTACCCACTGTGTTCCGTTGCATCGATGCTTGAATGATACTTGTTAGTATTTCTAAAATTCTACAATACGCTAAAAAGTGATCATTAATCTATGCGTACATTTATCGATACGAGACATTAACTGAAGCAAGAAATTTGGCTCTATCAGAAGTTACGCGCACGGGAGGATGTCAGTTGCCGCCGTCTCTCCCGACTCGAGTGGATCGGCATTGGTTCGTTGCCAACGAGCGCGTTCCATGTCAATACTTAGGTAAACAGAAATTGATATAAAGAACACGGTACAGCAGGGGCGAGCGCTTAGTTCGCCAGAGATTCTAAGCACAATTGATTTGGTGCATCATTTGCTGGTCGGAGGTCACGGCCTTCGTGTACAATGCCATCATTTCGGGCAATCATTTTGCCTATCACGCGCCCAGCCGAACTACCGAATGCGCGTTGATGGTGTGTTATGTCTTCCTTGAAAAAACGTACGTCCTTGTATCGGTTCTAACGTGATGGAGGAACACATAGCTGGATGTTGGAGGCAGATAGACGTTTCCGCCATTACGTGCGGAGCTCACAAATGATGATGTTTCAAAAAGTGCGCTAATCCACAAAGAGACAGAGCTCGCAGCGATAGAACAAGACGAAACGCTATTATGTCTGCCTGCCTCTGTGAAAAGGATGTCATATAAGAAACGATGCTTGACCAAAGCGACCCCATGTTATATCTTAATTACTGGCCACCTTTCTCCTTGTCTATATCGAAGAATAGAAATGATGAAACTGCCCGCCGGTATCACTTGACGCCCGTTAGCAAGCAGGTTTTCTAGAGGTGTACCGCATTATTTTATCATAAAAATAACCTATACGATCCGTTCTGACGAAAGAACTGTCTGTATATACGAAGAGAGTCTTAGACGCAGGCGGACGTACTATAAACTTGTTTCACGTTTATGGACGTGTGCTTATTTGTGTGTAAGGCTAGACTATTATGATAATCTTGCTCACTATTACTCTTACTACAGTTCGGTTTAAGACGTGATACATTGCGTGATTTCATCTAGCTATTCGATACGGCGAAAAATTTTGCGCGATCGTCCTACTCGAATAGCGTGGCCTTCTTTCTACGTTTTAGGCAATCCAATACTTATGATAATTGTCTGGGCGATACATTCTATCAAATTTGGCGATAGACTTCCTTGTTTTATGTGAATATATATATCTTCTACAATTACTACGAAAAATAAACCGTGCCTTTTGTATCTTATATGCTACCTCGAGTGTCATTTTTGGCTCATAGATAGTCACAGTCAAATTAGCTATATCGATCGGGCTTTACTCGGAAATGCTGGATACCCCTAGTTAAGTATTAGACGTATTTATGGAAAACAGTGAGTGGTCAATCTTAAACTGAGGAAAGTTATTGAGAAGCTCAATTTTTTTTACATCTCCACCTCGTTACTATACTCAAGATAGACGTACGTGTTTGTTACGTTTTCCTAAGGATGCGGGCTATAGGTCGATGAAAAATCAACCTTAGCGCTGTTCAAGTTATATAACATTGTTTCCAACGCTAACGACCGATATTAAGAGCAGCTTGACGATTCCACATACGAATTCGGCCGTGTCGTAGTCCTGTTGCACATTTTTAAAATCACGTCGAGTTCCTGAGTCGTAAGGAGGCAGCTTCACCACGATCACACCAGGTTTCCTTGAAGCCAGTAATAATTACCAATTGCATTGAAACGTCGAAAATATATACACCTTTGTCCTGACTGTGTGTCCTGAACTGAGAGTGACAGTATTCCAAATGGTCTTCTTGCCTTATTAGCGCTGTAAAATGTTCTATTTTGAGACAAAAATATCTCGAACAGTCAATGCCCGAAAAATATGGCCTTTGTTCTGGTATTTAACCTGGCTAAGCTTTTTAGGTTACTTTTAAACCACAAGATTAGCTATTAGTACTTTAAAATAACAAATATATATTTTCTATTTTCTTCGCTAGTAACCACTTCAAAATGCATGTAATTCAGGTGTGTTCAATACGTTCGTGATATAAGCCTTGCAGCGAGCGTAACTTCGATTTCTTGCAGGAGCATTATTATCTAAAGATATTAAACAACCATAGGCACACGTCTGCCTAGTATCCTAGTATCTTATCTAGGTACAACTGCCACACCGATATGTTCCGGCCTTGCCTGTGGCCTAATAGAACTGATTTCATTTTTTCTGAGAAACACATCAAACAATTAAGGAGGGTCTATAGAGTCCAGTGTACAATTCTCAAAAGGTTGTTTTTACGAAGTCTGACTTTTGTGGGGATGATTGTAGTTGGGCATAATGTAACGATGGCTGGCGGCGTCTGATAACGTGTTTGTGTATGCTACAATAGCCAACGCTAAAGTTGTGTCCTTCGAGCGCGAATGCCCCTGGAGAATTATTGGACTTCGCGGAGCTGTGTGCCATTGCAGTTCGTACTGTTTCAGCATAGAGACTCGTGCACAACTCGGGCAACGTGCTCTTCTGAGAGGCAACGACACCGAGAGGCTGTATTGCAGCCAGCCAAAAGCAGGTGTATACGAACTTATGACACGAGTTCGGCATTCAGCCACACGCTTATGGTAGATTCTTCTGATAATCGCTGCAAGTCTGCACCGAGTTAGAGCTACGTGAACGAAGCATTTGATAGAAACTTTACAGAACTTTACGGCTTTTCGTTGCGGCTGCTATTGAATGGATATGCTTAGTTAGACGTGGCTCATTGCTATACATGCAGGTTACGTGTTTGCAACCCGTTAACTGTAATTTCGTCTGTGGTGTGGCAAGGCTAACTGTGTCAGAGTCTACGCTACGCATCCAGTATCCAAAGATCCGAGCCTATGACAGCCTGCGTAAGTCGTGCAACGCGATTTCTGTTCTCATTGCGCACCTATCGTTCCTGCACGTCTCGCCCCTTTTATACCGTTGTCTCACCTTTTGGATACCACGATTTGGTTGACCACTATGTATGAGTCATGTGTAACGGTCCCAGCTGTTCTTACGAGGAGAAACTTGTCTTTTGCCAAAACAGCTTTCGCCATATCTATAAAAGGTATTGCCTTGAAATTGGTAAAAACATTGGCAGGCTTTTTGTCGGGCGTGTGTTCATCCGCTATCAGATGAAAACCGGTTCTATTTAGAAACAATCAACAAACGTTTTCGAAGCGTGAACGAATATCAGCCGTCATTCGATCCCTCTACGGTGGACAAACACACACTAAAATTAAGAAGTCTTTTTATTACCTTAAACCTATAATCGAAGCATTATTGCTAGCTTTCACGTTGAAAAAAATTTCAATAAGATCCAGATTGAAAGGTCCGAACATTAAAAAATGGCTCTAGAAATTATTTTTTGTATATTTTAACTCTTGACATCGAAATGAGCGGCCGCTTTGAAAAGGAGAAAGTCGGGTCGTTTAGATAAGCTTTAATGGTTACAACTTTGGAGACATTTTGCGGCTTTTTAGAACATGCGGTTCCGTTGGAATTTTTTTTAATGTATTCAAGCGGCACTTGTATGAGTTAACGCTTATTGAAATTAAAAATTCGGGCCGGTTATAAAAGGAACTAAGAATTACGGGCTCTTAACCCAAGGAAGGCCAACGATCGGGGCTGCGCTCCACGTTGAATCCACACAAAGTAGGCCTTGCCCTGCTATTGTTTGGATGTACGTGAGAACTATCACTCAAACTCTACTGGAAAAAATATTATCTGACCCACGTGATTCGCGGATTAGAGAAGAAATATATTTGAAAGTAAGTAAAGAGTGGTATAAGGCTGAATTGAAATTGTGATCATTGTGAATAATGCTTATATTGACTAAACGTGACTGTCAGAAAGGACACTCTTCGTATATACGGGAAAAAGGATATATTCAATTGAGACGCACCATCCATACATGCGTTGATGATACTGATAATTTATATAGATGAGTATCGAGCAACTGGGGATGCAGCACTACATTTGATAATAATTACGACAGATGAGCCTCTGAAGGATCTTTACAATATTTCCACTGATAGTGGTGATGAAGTTAGGGAAATCGTGATGAAATCTACACATAGTTATGCCCGTTGAGAAGTTAAGAAAACTTGTGCACATAGTGTCTAGTGCTGGGAACTGTTTTTATTGTTTAGAATCGTATCTATAGACCGTTGCAAAATAAACTAGCTAATATTACGTAGGTATAGGAGGTCAAGACACGACGGCCCGTCTCCAGTGCGCTATGTGTATTATACGCGGTACGATGCATGGGGAGTCGCGGTGGTGGTGAAAAGGTTTACTTCCACAGGAAAGCTTTTACGTAATTGGGATTATTAGGCTTACTTGATTATATAGAGTAAGGGTTCACATATACACGAGTTTGAAGTCGTTCTCTCAGCAGACCGAGATTTACAAATCGAACTTGTTGATTGAGCTTTGAGTATGGAATAGCTTGTCAGAAGCGGACCTCCATATCGTTAAGAAAGTGCGAGTACAATTGATACAAGGAGGGATACAAGGAGATAAAATGGAGATAGGCATTTTTGAAAGTAGCAATATCGCAGCATTTTGTTCGGGATAAAACCACAATCCTCCTAAAAATTATTTCTAGGCCACGATATTATTGAAAAAAAAAAAATATATATATATATACATAGAAAGGGTCGTTTGCTTAATGTTCTCCGGGTGACTTTACAGTGATAAAGTGTATAAATAAGTGCATGCTTAAGCCTGTAATGTGATCAGCTTGTTGATGACTAAAAAAAAAACAATTAAATGTTTGACAGCGCGTGCTTCTCTACATATATACATATATTTGCTCTAAAGACCAGGCCTGGGACCACTCAAAGAAAAAAATAACTGAATAATTCAATAGTGGAACTTATAAACAAGGACACGATTTCGGGTAGAATATACCTAATCTCTTGTTGCATATAAAATCCCGATGAGTCAAAAAAAATTTAAAAAAAAAAACGTAAAAATGTTCATTGCAACCAAGTTTTATCTATGTTGCAGAGGAAAAAATGGCTGATTATAAAACTCTGCTGATAGTTGGGCCAGTAATCGGTCAACGACTGAAAGATAAAATAATCACGGTTATGAAAAAGGAGGAATTATACTTGCAGAGGCTTCAATTGGTAACCTGCCGTCGCTCCAACCCAAAATCTATTGTCAATGACCAAGTTGCCAATCCCCACTGCCGCCATACGTTGTAGGATAATATTAGACACGGAACGAATTTAGCATTTCAATGTTTTAAACAAATATTGAGATATTGACCTATGTCTAGTATTAAACATTTTTTTAGTAATATAGTTTGGGTATGGATTTTCCGTGTTTAGCGTCCTACTATGATTGTTCCTGATGCACATGGTACTTAGTAACCAGACTTGCTACCTTGCTATATACGATCGAACAGTCACAATTGCTTTTCAGATTTTACAATACCACTAGAACCGCCTCTAAATAACTACTATCATCGTCGGAGAGTGAATGGTATTTGTTAATCCGCTACTTTTAATGCTACACGCGCGTCGTTTTCGAAATTCAGGCTAGGATCAGCTGTTACCCAATCTTTACATGCCGGACGAGTCCTCGCCGAAACTATAAACGCCCGAAATCAACAATGTACCGCATCGCAAATAAGCGTGCGACCGCCGAGGAACCCCGAGGTGGTTCCAGCACAGCACAAAGGAACGTCCACGGCAGAGAAAGAACAGTGTAGACTGCAGCGTCGAGCGCTGCCGTCCAAAGTGCATTTTTAATGATCCTTCTGCTTCGATCAGAGCACTAGCGAACAAATTTAATGTAAACAGTTGTGCGACGTTGTGGATTGTTTATGAAGACTTCAGGCACATATCAGATGCCGTGAAAGTCAGGCGGATGCCTTCTAAGGACAATAAAGCTAAGGGGTTCCACCGTTGTTTGTTATTCGATTCCCTCAAGAATAAACCCGCAAATCGCCTTATTTTTCTCTGACGTAAAATTTTCTATCCTTGATATAACAACAAACCTCAGAAATGATCATTGGCTTGCTTAGGATTCTGAGGACATGCTTATTGTGTGGGCAGGAAGTTCATGTTTTGAGCCTAGTGCTCAGTGATGAAGACGTCCTGCCACGATATCTCTTAATCTTCTACAGAAGGACAAACGCATCATTAACATATTTACATGTTCTACATATTACTGTTCAACCGTTGATAACTGAAATGTCTCATAGAAG